GCTGTGCAGATGATGTTCTGTGGAGCAGTATCATCATGCTGTAGTATACTAGTACTTTGATATCAGGCAGTGTGATACCTACAAATTTGTTCTTCTTTCTCAGGATTGCAGAGGCTATTGGGGTATTTTATGGTTTCATATAAATTTTTGGGATATTGGTTCTAGATCTGTGAGATAGTCCATTGGGATTTTAATAGGAATTGCGTTGAATTGAAAGATTGCTTTGGGTAATATGGACATTTTAATTCTTTCTATCCATAAACACGATATATGCTTCCAGTTATTTGTATCTTCTTTAATTTCTTCAGTGTTCTATAATTTTCTGAGTACAGGTCCTTTATCTCCTTGGTTAAATTTATTCCTATGTATCTTAATTTTTTTGTTGCAATGGTAAATGTGATTGTTTTTTTAGTTTCTCTTTCTGTGAGTTCATTATTGGTGTATAGAAAAGCCATAGACTTCTGGGTGTTAATTTTGTATCCTGCTACATTGTGGAATTCATTTATTAAGTCTAGTAATTTTTTTCACTGAGTGATTTTATTGCCTGATTTTCTGAATCAGCATTTGTGTAACCAGTAGAACCAAACAAAATTCTTGGATCTAAGTGGGCACTGCCCTCTTAGCTGCATGAGACATTAGGATTTGTAGGAGATCAAAGTATTCTACTCTAAAATACGTCACTTTGGCATACAGATTCTTTTGAGCTGAAGGCATTTGAGATTCAACAGATGAAGAAAGAAGCCTTCCCAGAGCCTCCCTCATCTGATCAAAAGCAGAAATTTCTGAGACATGAGTATAGTCATAAGTTCTCTCTCCTAGCGAAGTTTATGGCTATGAATGTGATGGAATGATGATCCCAAGAGGGCCATGTACAAACATACCTTATTGCATTCGTTTCCCCCATAGATTTGCCTTCCCATAGTTTGCCACTCTCATAATCCTCAAACCCTTTTCCTTTGTCTTGTTGCTTTTTTATAAATTTTTTGTTCTTTATTAATATGCCTAATAAGCCCAAGTTCACCCCTTTGAGTTACTGATCACTGACTTTCTCATGTGTGCTGCATGTGCTAATAAATTCTGCTTTTTGTTTTTTTTTTTCAGGGTCAGGATCTCTTGACTTCATTTTTTTTTTTTGGTTTATCTTTTTGGTTTATCTCTCCTCATCCTCCCACCCCCACATCACGATATGTCAGTGTGTTCCATGCCTCCCTGCTTCAGGCCTTATTTTTTGGTCAATTCATTTTGTTCATTAGATTCCAGAAATAAGCTAGGTCATGTGATATTTGTCTTTCTCACATTGGCTTATTTCACTTGGCATAATAGGAGACTATTATGTTTTTCTTCTATTAATCTGTCTTTTGCCAGTCTAATTTCCAGGGCCCCAGCTGGAGAACCTAGGGAAGTCATGGAAAAAAGTTTTTTTTCCTTCCCTACAGAATATTGTCTGAATGTCTATTTATTTAAAACAGAAGTGGCAACTCAGATGCCTGTAGGGGCAGATAAGTGATTTAAATGAGTGAAGTAGGACAGATTATATTTTATTGAGAGGTGTTTGTTTTACATATTGAATACATAGCAATATTCTTTATTTATGCAAAAAAATGTTCTCCATTGTTTTCTTGAAATATGTGGGCTATATTAGTTGTTTTCCTTCATTTGTTAGGCATAGAAAGGAGAAATATTTCACCCTTATTGGAAGAAAACAAATGTAATGATAAGTGGTCCCTGATATCCAGCTGCAGGAGAGGAGTTTATGAAGCAATAGGGAATGGTGAGGAATGGTGGTTACCTAGACCAGTGGTCGGCAAACTGCAGCTCGTGAGCCACATGCAGCTCTTCGGCCCCTTGAGTGTGGCTCTTCCACAAAATACTGACTTCTGCGCATGGGCCACAAAGTTTCAATCACACTGTACGTGTGTGCCCGCACGTGGTATTTTGTGGAAGAGCCACACTCAAGGGGCCAAAGAGCCGCATATGGCTCGTGAGCCGCAGTTGGCCGACCATTGACCTAGAGTAGACTGTACATGTCCCATCTAATGGGGACAGCTTCAGCCCACTCTGGTCACAGGAAAATATGGGACCAGTATTACCTGATTTTCAGATTTTTCAATAAAAGGTAGAAATGTGGAATTCATGTGAAATATCCCACTTTTCAAATGTTAATACCTTTTTAAAAAAGATGTCTGACACTGTGTGGGACAAATAGAACATGGCTGTAGGCCCCCCATATGCATCTTTAGATTTAAATGATTTATAAACTTTATGTTCTTGACTCTAGCCCCTGCCATTGCCACGCATAAATTCTAATGTCTTTGTTTGAAATGAGAGTGAGAACAAAAGCCAACCTCTAGTTAGAGGTAAGGAGTGAATGTGAAGGAAATAAAACTAGAGAGAAAAAAGAAAAAGAAATAAACCTGGATACTTTTGTCTGTTTCCGTGCCAAATAAATATTGCCTGTGCTGTTTCTTTCTCCTGTGGAGCATCCAATGTATTGTATGTCTAAAGATGGAAATTACAGTTTTTGAACAACAAATTGGGACACATGATCTGACAGTGAGACATTTATTTTGAATGTGGGGATGTCCAGGACATTATAGACACATGGCAGACATCCTGATAAAAACACAAATGGAGTTCCTTCTAGGGACTCACTATTTTGCTTTCTTTGCAGATGGCAGCCCGTTTCACATGGTCTTTTGTGGTTTTGCTTTTTAATAACTTAATAACTAAAAGTCCTCTAATGAATTGCAAACACAGTTGACTGGGGATTGAACCTGCAACCCAGGTATGTGCCCTGACTGGGAACTGAACCTGCAACATTTTGGTGTATGGGATGATGCTGCAACCAACTGATCTACCTAGCCAGGGCTATTTGGTAGTGCTTTTAAAACTCAAACTGCAAGGAGGTCAAGAGGGTATGTGATAGATGGCATCTAGAAAGAAATTCTGTTGCTGTCAGAGAATACTGAAGAGGACCCAGTGGCTGGACAGGTTTCCACTTCTTTTTCCCACGCAGGGTTTTCTTACCCTCCTGCTTAGGCCCCCTCGTCTTCCTGACTTTTTGTTCAAAACAATACTTTCCAAGGTTGCCTTAAATCTGATCATATCTGAAGCTTTAAGGGTAATTGTTCACATTAATGCTTTCCCCACTCTGCCAGCAAGCCAGGTGGGGCTTGTTAGGTTGAATTTGGATTTGTTGACAATCCCTAATTTGAGTTCTCAAGTCCTGAAGAGTAATCTTGCATTGGAATGGGGTGTGAGGAGGGGTGAGGCAGCACTGTTTCTTGGACTTTGAATTCTTATTCAGGTCTGTTGAAACTGAGAATGTGGAGCAAGGTCTGTTTGTTTAATGGGGCTTTTCCTGACTACTTATTCACTCACTTCTAGTCCTTACATGTTGGTGGTATTTGTTGACTGTTTCAGAATATGTGCTTGCACTCAATGTGGGTTACAAATGTGGGTTCTATACTAGTAGACTAATAGAATGTCTGAGCTAGGAGCATTGGAAGGGATCTTGTCTACCCAAGCCCTCATTTTATAGATGAGGAAATAGGCCCAGAGAGGGAAATGACAAAGTGATTTATTGGTAGAGCTAGTAGAATAACTCAGGGCTCCTTTTATTATTATTATTATTATTATTATTACCAGAACTCTTCATCTTTATTATTTTTGCATGTGTAATAGCTCCCTAGATCAGTTGTGGAGATTAGCCTCCTCTCATTCATGACTCTTTGAGTTTCCTTCCTCAGAAGCCATTAAGTATTAAATAAAACCCAACATGAATGATAGCTACTGTGGAAAATGTTGCTACTGAAAATTATGCTCCTAGCTGCAGGCTTATCAAATCTAATAAAGGTTCTCAGAGTGAGTAATCAGTGGGAGCACTTAAGATCTACATACATTTTGCAAGCACCTCCATCCGTAATTGCTATTAGCACAGTTTTGTTTTTTGTTTTTTTAGTTTGCTAGTTAAGTATAATCACAGTAACTATTTTAAAAAAAATCTCATGTTTAAAAAATGATGAGTATGGCGTAGGTGCTCAATAAATATGTATAGAAAAATAAATGCTTCAGTGCAGTTCTGGGTTCTGCTGATCTGTTCATTGGCTTAGGCCTCCCAGGGGAAGAAGCTGTTCTGTCCATATGCCCTGAGCTACAGGAAATGTGATGCCATTTCCTTGTGTAGCAGCAAAAACAAAGGGCTCTGACTATGACATCTTTTCTGATGGCTTCTGTAGTGTATAAAGAGGACTGAGAAAATCCTACCTGGTCAGCAAAATGTTCCAGGCTAATGTTAAATGAGAGCATTACTGTAAGCAGCCTACCTAGGTAAGCAGGTCCTGTACTTTTAGGCCATCTTGACAACACTTTTTTATTTCTCAGCATCTCTGTTTCTCCCATGGTACAGAAGATCATCTGGATATAGTACTTCTCAAATAATTCTGCTTTCCTTAATTGCAGAGAAGTGTACATGTGAGCACTCTGGCAAGTCACGGAGTAGTAAGAAGTGCCTTCTTGTACATACATAATTTCTGTTAAAGCTTCTGTTTTACTTTTTAAATTTGAGAAGTTTTTATTTTTCTCCATCATTTGTTTCAACAGAACATTAGTATTTGCTCCCAAATTGGGGGTAAAGTTGCTGCTCAGGAAAGCATGCCAGGCCAATGTTAAATGAAAAAAATTCTGTATATAGCCTAACTAGGAAGCAGGTCTTGTACTTTTAGGCCATCTTGATGAGACCTCTTTATTTCTCAGTTCCTCTGTTCCTCCTATGTACAGAAGCTCACCTGGATATAGTGGCCTTCTCTGGGACACCTGAGCCACATCGTCAGAGTCCAATTTGAGGAAGATGAAACTAAAGAGTACCTGATGTATCCATCCCCTTAGGTAGGTTATTGTTCTTAGCCTGGGAAGACAGGGTCTCTTATTTCTATAGATTTAAGGCAGTCATTTTAAAACAATTTTTAAAAACTAATCCATGCAATGTTTTCTTCTAAACAAAGCTGTTATGGAGGGTCACTATGGGAGATTTGGATCTGCTCTGGATAGAACAGGGGTTTGGGGATCCAGAGCCTTACCCCCTTGGGTCCCTTCTCCTTCCCTTGTAAAGGGACACTGGGTACTCTGAAAGTAGCTTGAAAATCATTAAAATAGGGTGAAACTATTCTTCATCCACATATGGTACCTTTCATTCACTGACCCTCTATTCACTTACCAAACTTTTATTGAGTGACTGACTATATGCCAGGCACTGTTCTGACACTTCTGATATAGCAGTGAATAAAACAGATAGCATTTCCTGCCCTCATGGAATGAACATTCTAGTGGAGTAGTTAGCCAACTAACATGATAAATAAGTAAAATGCATAGTTTCTTAACTACTGCTAGTCCTTAGAAGACCAGTAAAACAGGGAAGGGGAATTAGATGTGCTAGAGGTGTTTTGCAATTTTAGATAGCGTTACTAGAGAAGGCCTCAATGAGAAGATGAGTTTTGAGTAAAGACCTGAAGAAAATAAAGTTAGCCCTGTTTAGATCTGGTGACAAAGCCTTTCAGGTGGAGGGAAGAACAGTGCAAAGCCCTGAGGTAGGATATTGCTTGGCATGTTTAAGGAACAGGAAGGCTTTCACTGTGAGCAAAATGAAAAGTCACTAGAGAGTTTTGAGTAGATTTTATGTTCCAACAATATCACTGTGGCTGCTGGGTAGACATTGAGCATAGGCCAATGCAGAGTAGCGGAAACTTGGTAGGAGGCTATTATGGAAATCCAGAAGAGAAATGTTGGTGACTTGGAAAATAATGATGGCAATGGGATGGTGAATAGTGGTCAGACTCTGGAGTCAGGACCAATAGGATTTGCTGTGGAGCAGATGTGGGGTATGAGAAAAAAGAGAAGAGCCAAGAACGTCACTAAAGTTGTTAATCTGAACAATTGAAAAATGGAGTTACTGTTAACTGAGACCTGAAGTTTGAGTGAGGATCAGTGTTTGTGTCCAGGTGTGAGGGTGTAGGAAATATCAGTTGCTCATTTACACATGTTAAATTAGATATGTTCATAATACATCTAGGTAAAGATGTCTGGTAGGCATTTGGGCATATGAATCTTGAATTTGGGAAAGTTAAGCCTGTAGAGTCACATTTTCCCACATTCTTATAGTAAGGATGTGGTGTATCAGAGATACATCAGCCAGTTGTCTTTCTATAAATGGCACATATCCAGAGGGCTCATGACTTTCAGTTCCAGTCAGTTGAGCCCACATTCCAGTTGGCATAAATACAGACAATCCCTTGCCCTCACCCTTAGCCATGTGAGTTAGATAAACATGTCCACACTTTTCTTTCAAGGACCCCTAGGGATGACTGTGAAGCTCAGAGACACTGTTCCATGGAACTAAGTTTCATAATCTCTGGATGCAGACCATTGCCTTTCAATTGCAATGGCCTCCTTAGGGGTCACAAAAACTTTGGAATAAAGCAAAGAAAAGTTGTTTAGCTACCAAGGCTGCCATTGCAGAGCCCAGGGTAGATCACAAAGCTGGCATTATCTCATATTGTGAATGACTTTATCAAGAGGAAATCCTCTCCAAAGGAATGTCAAGGGCAGCCTTGAGAGGAAAAGAAGTTAAAAATGCAACAGACTGCCCTGGGAGGAGGGGTGGCAGATTGGTTTTGCCTGGATTGCAGAAGGAATGATTTTTTTTTTACTTGTGTGCACAGGAGTTCAGTTTAATTTAGTAACAGAGGGCTAAGCCCAGTAGCTGCATCTTGCAGCTCAGCCCCAGGTCCAAATTATGGGAACAAGAGCAGGGTCACTTCTCACTCATCACTGACAAATACAGTAAACTGCTGTCTTTGTTACAGTGTGGGGGGCAGGGGAAGGGTAGGAGGTCTTGACAGGAGGGAGAAGTAGAAGATGTACAAAAAACAGTATTGGGAGTTCCAGGAGAAGAGCTGAGGGTGCATTAGAGAAGCTTTGAGGAGTAGGTGGCATTGAATGATAAGTAGGATTTGGCTAGACATAAATGGGTCAAAGGACAGTCTTAGCAAAGGGACTGTTATGAGTGAAGGCAGATGTCTTCAAAGAACAGTAAATTTAAGTGGTCAGAGGTAAAGTAAATGAAGGAGGCATGAAAAGGGAGGCAATGAAGTGTTGTGGTTCAGTACACAGTCTCTGGAGTCAGATAGCCTTTTGAAGCCCAGCTCTGCAATTTATTGTGTAACCTTGACAAGTTACTCAACCTGTTTTACCCTCTGTTTCCTCAATGTAAAAAGGAAATAATAAAATTAATAGCAAAATAGGGTTTTTGTGAGTATAAAAATAAGATAATTTAGTTAAGTACTTGGCACCTAACTATCAGTTCTGCTATGAAAGGTAAGAGGCTAAAAGAAATTACACTAAAACATTTATAGTAGTTATCCTTGGATTGAAGAATACAGGTACTTTTTCTCTATTACATTCTTTTCTGTCATTATTAGGTTTTCTTTTACAAGCATTCTAACAATAATCAGGAAAATATGAGGGTTTTTTTTTCCTATTAAAGCATGTGTGAAAGACAGCAAGATTGGAAAGGTAGATTGAGGCTACATCACCAAACAGTTTATTATATGGTAAGGGTTTCAAACTATATTTCATGAATTCAGTCATTTTATACAAATGTTTCAAGGGTTCTATAGATATAGGATTTAATTTTC